GGTCCAGGGCCTGGGACCCTCAGGACATGAAGCTGATCAGACAGAGGGCGCACTGTTTCTACACCGACAACATGTGAGCGCACACACACACACGCACACACACACGCACAGGGAGCAGCCAATCAGATGTCATCATTTGGTACCTGGCAGTTCCGAGGACGACCCCTACCTGCTGTACGCGGCGCTGCATTCAGGAGCTCAGTGTGTGTTTGTCAGTAAAGACCTGATGAGAGACCACAAGGCCAGTCTGCAGGACCAGACCACCAGACGAGTCTTCTTCAAGTGGCAGAGAGGACACCAGCTGGTGCTGGACGGCTACGTAGTGGAAGGACGGACGGTACGGTTCAAGGTGAGGAGGAGGAAGAGGAGGAGGAAGAGGAAGAGGAGGGAGAGGAGGAGGGAGAGGACAAGAACACCAGTAACAGAGTGTGTATTTGTGTGTGTGTGTGTGTGTGTGTGTCTTTCAGAGTATTCCCAGCTACGACACCGTCGTCCAAACCTCCGGAGACTCTTGGCACATTCCCTACGACGACCAGGACGACCAGGACAGGACCACGTACGAAGTTCCTCAGAAATGGCTCTGTCTGACGCAGCAGTGACTGACACCTGTCAATCACAGCACTGTAAATAAAACCTTTGTCGTCATCATCAGAGTGTGTCTTTGACCCCCCCGTCCAACATGTCCTCCATGTCAACACCCTCCTCCATCTTTCCCCCCCAGCTTCAGTTTCTGCCCCTAACTGTTAGAACAAGAACAGTTTTTCTTCTCCAGATCAGGTCAGAGATGACCTCCTGACCTCCTGACCTTCTGACCTTCTGACCTTCTGACCTTCTGTCAGCGTTTCTACAAACACTGTCCATGACCAATCCTTCCATCTGTGCAGCACTTTTGGACCTCGATCTTTTTACAGGAACCCATCGATTATTTAATATTAATATAGAAATAAAGAAATAATTAGTAAGAAATAATAATAATTATTATTATTATTTCTTTAGTTCCAGGCCCAAATGAACAGCCGCGGTAAAACTAAAAAAAATAAATAAATAAAACAAATACAATGATACTAATACTGTACCTGGTGTTAAAAGTAAAAAAAAACATGACAGCGCCCCCACTGGCCACAGGTGTTGTGCTGCTGGCCATCGGTCAGTAAGAACTGCGTGTGTGTGTGTGTGTGTGTGTGTGTGTGTCCACCAGATATGGAACAGTATATAAGACAGTCAACCAGGAACACCTGTAGCTGCTCCCCACTACACCCAGTCCGACAGCAGGGGGCACTGTTCGCCACTGAACCTATGCTGTTCTTCAACACGTTACTTGAATGATTCAGAAGATTGTTGATTGATATTGAATGGGCGGAGGGGGGGGGGACGGGGGGGGGGGAACGTGAACGGTCAGTCAGTTCTCTTCTCTGCTGGCCTAAAAACAACCACGGCTCAGATGAAGTTCAGCCAATCAGACGAGCCCTGAGCTGACGTGGAGTTGACTAATCCTTCTGTCCCACTTCTACCACACCAGTGGACACCAGTGGACACCAGAGGACACACACCAAGAGGACACCAGTGGACACCAGAGGACACCAGTGGACACCAGAGGACACCAGTGGACACCAGAGGACACCAGTGGACACCAGAGGACACCAGTGGACACCAGAGGACACCAGTGGACACCAGAGGACACCAGTGGACACCAGAGGACACCAGTGGACACCAGAGGACACCAGTGGACACCAGAGGACACCAGTGGACACCAGAGGACACCAGTGGACACCAGAGGACACCAGTGGACACCAGAGGACACCTAAACCTTCACGTCTCCTCTTCAGCGTTCTAAAAACAGAATAGTATTTTCTTCTTTTATACGTTAGACTGACTTCAAACTGCCGCAGCTGAAGACAGTAGAGACAGAGAGACAGAACGTGTCCCACATGTCGTGAATAAGGAATACGATCCTCCAAGAATGGAAGAATGAAAAAATGCCCAGAGGCAGCAGGTGGGTATTACACCAGACCACAGGTTTGTCTGAGGACTGAAACGTCTCCAAACCTTCACATGGTTTAACGGCTCCGCTGCCTTGAAGTCTCACTACAACTCCATTAAAACGACAGGAAGTAGATCATTAGGAACGTTCCGGAAATTCCCTGCAGTGTTTGCGTTTCCCCGTCTGTCGCTGGTGTGTTGGAGTTCCAGAATTCTGTCAGCGTGAGATCGATGCTTCGTCTCAGCTTCCATTTCAGTGTGACCTCCTCAGAGCCGCAGACAAAGACGCCCACGACAATGTGGTCATTCAACACCAGCTGGGTACAACAGCCAATCCAGCACCGCACGCAGAGCCTCCTCCAGCCGGCGGCCACATCTGCACACTCACACCAAACAGTCGGAAAGTCCACGACCTTTACAGATAATAGTTTGTTAGATTGTGTTTCCACTCAGCTGAAGATCTGTTTCCTTCTGATTAAGACCTTCATCATCATCATCATCATCTTCATCACACCTGAAACTGCTACTGTGACCATAAAACGTCTGAACGACACTGGTTCAAGTCTCTGTGGCTCAACCTGTGGTGACCTAGAAATGCTAATCATGCTAATGTGAGAGATTCCCGTCTGTTCTAGTTGACACAGACGTGGAGTTCCCCCAGAGTCACTGACAAGAACACGACAGTTGGCGTATTTATTATAGAGACGCACAGTCGCGGCTAGCTAGGCCTTCTTTAGACCGGTGTTACCCTAACCCTCGCGGCCAAGTCAATAGACATTCATAAACTCCTGAGAAACACGATGCGAGATGACCCAAAAAAAATCTCTTGCGACCCACCTGAGGGTCGCCATCCAGTCTTTGGGAAACAATGCTGTAGAGAGTACCAGAACCAGAACCAGAGTATTCTGTTCTCATTGGCCGTTCGGTGTTTCTATCCAATCACATTTCAGTGTCATGTGTTGCCGGGGCCACAATCATCTCAGAATATTTAGATTCAACATTTGAGTCAGAATTTTATTTTTGATTTTATTTATGAATTAATTCCTGTTTCAACATGTTAAATCCAGGAGTTTGAAGGAAAAGGAACCAACATGAAAAAATAAAAGATTAAAGACAACGAGGGAAACGTTTGATATTTTAAACCTTAAAAGTTCCTGGTTCCTGGAGAGTGACAGTGAGGACTGTTGTTAATGTAGAACTGTTTAAACCTCGGCTCGTTACTAAAGAACCAACACTAACTAACCCTTCCTTCCAGAACGTTCCACAGCT